GCGACGGGGTGGACGCACGCCCTGAACTGGCGCCAGAGGATTCTGGAGGCCGCTTGCGATCGGGCCCCCGGCCTCGGCAGCGGCACGCGCGTTCGATCACGGGGCGCCCCCAAGTCTTCGACCAGTTGCCCGCGCAGCCTACGTCGGCAACCTCGCGGCTGTCTCGCAGCCCGCCCGCAAGGCTCGGTCCGTGGCCGAGGGGGTCGCGGCCGAACTCGAGCGCGTAGGGCTGCGAGCTCACCCCGTCGAATCAGGCTCAGGCGGCGAATCTCTGGGGCGGATGCTATCGAGCGACCGCCCGATGGTGATCGGAAAAGAGAGAAGAGCATGGAGGTCGCGCCCAGCAAGTCAACGCGCTTTGGGCATGCGCTATTTCAGTGGGCAGCAAGTCGAGGTTCTGTCTGGCCACTGCACACGCTTATTTTTCTTCATCGCGAGCTTCTTTCGATTTTTCAGCGCGGCGTGCGCTTTCATCGGGCGTCACCGCGGGGAGAGCATGGGAGTTGGGGATGTTGCTCCGCGCGAGCTACGGCGGGCCTCCGACCTCGTCTGTTCTCGACGAACCTGCGCGCCCCCATCTGCGCGCGCGCCCAGGCCACCGACGCGCCCGGGCGGGGACCGCGGGCCAGGAAGCCGACGCGAAGCACGCAACGAATGTTTCGGAGGCCCAGAGGTTCAAGGAGGGCGGCGAGGGCGCCCGTGAGCAGGCCCGAGAGCGCATTGAGGAGGCGAACGCGTTGGGGGAGATAGACGGGAAGACTTGAGAGCCAGGGGGGATCCACGAGTACGCCCGACTGGAGCGGGGCATAGACCCTGGGCCTCGACTTTGTCGGAGGCCCCTGGAAGACCAGCAGGTCACGAGCTTGGGATCGCCATATGAATTTACCCGCCCTGGAGATCCGTGCCCCTCTGCAAGGGGCTTCGGCATGCACAGCGACCACTGAAGCGGCCGGGCGCGGAGCTGGCCGTCCCCCACCGCGGCCGGGCCCCGGCAAGTCCCCGCTCAGCGGCGGAGAGCGCCTGGGGCGGGGCGCGGGGCGCGCGGGGCAAGAGAGGCCGTCAACCTGGCGCAGAGCCGACGAGGAGCAGCTCCCACGACGGTGCGAAGCCGATGGCTCTGACGCTGCGTCTGGCACCGCCTCGGGCTCGACATGCCGCTGCACGCGCGGCTGCCCGCCCAGGCTCGGTTGCGCGCTGGGCGACGGAGATGTCAAGCTGAGTCACCTCCAGGCGGCCAGCGCGCGGCCTCGTACCCAGCAGCTGCACCTAAAGAGTTGGCGGGGGTTTGTGCACTGGGCAAACGACCAGCACCTCCCCGTCTCTTGAACTCCGACATTGGATTTCGGGGGCCAGGCAATTGACGCAGACACGGGCGCGGCTACGCCCAGCCCTCTCACGGACCGAGCGGCAATGGTCCGGCTACAGGGGCGCAGCCAGTCAAGTCGATGGGCCGGCGAGCCCGTCGGTGACCGATTGGCGGTAAGAAACCGACCAACCAACCAGCAACCAGCCCATCAGCCAACCCGAGACGACCGCAGCTGCGGTGGCAAAGAACCGGCGGATGGAAAGCCCCACGTTCGCAGCAGTTCTCTTCTGGCAATTTCCAGCCAGAGCCGTGGATCATCGGACGCGCATCAAGGTCCGAGGATTCCTCCGACGCGTTTTGCCCGTCTCCTTCATATGTCTTCTATATACATAAATATATATGTATTATCATACGCACCTCTCCGAGGGAGTAGAGCTCAGAGGCGATGAATGCGTACGCGGGGCGCCGCGTCCGCGATTTTTCTGGCCGTTTCGCTAGGGACATCCTCGAAATTCTGAAAATCGGTGGCACCCTTCACGCAGATCGTGACGTCAGGGTCCAAAAACACATGCGAATTTCAACCGTTTAACATACCCCGATTCTCAGAGAATGGCGGTTTCGCCTGAAACATCCTCCCAAAATCGAGCTCCGACGTACCATCTGGTACCCCGGACTCCGCCTCGGAGCCTCCTGGGGGCCTCCTGGTATCTCCTGGGGCCTCCTGGGGCTTTCTGAACCTTCTGGTACCCCAGACCCCGCCACGGAGCTTCCTGGGTGTCTCCTGAAACCTCCTGGGGCCTCCTGCGGCCTCCTGGAGCCTCTTGGGGCCTCCTGAAGCCTGCTGGGGTCTCCTGGGGCCTCCTGAGGCCGCCTGGGGCCTCCTGGGGCCTCCTGGGGCTTCAGAACTACATGCACACACAGAGACACAAATCACGCCCAACACATCACACGCTAGACAAACATAACACACACACACACACACACAACACCAACAACGCACAAAAAGCACGCACAACACAGAGCACACATCACACACACACACACAACACTCACAATCTTGGGGCCTCCTGGAGCCTCTTCTGGTATCCAAGTCGGGCCTCCTGAGGCTTCCTGGGGGGCCCTGGTACACACATCGCAAGGTGTGGCGACCCCACTTGCGCTCGAGTGCGACTTCGCTGTTGCATTTCACTCCTGCTTCAAACGCCCCTGCAGTTTTGTTGTATGAGCCTGGGCACACACGTGCCACTTGTATATATGGTCCAGGGCTTGGGCCCCCCCCCCTCCCCCCCAATGCTGATGCCATTGGACCCCCCCCCCCCCCGCGCGATGGTCCCCCCCGCCCCGCCCCCCCCTGTGGGCGTGGCGTGGTGCTGCGCTGCGGTGCCCCCCTCCCCCCCTCTGTGGATGTGGTGTGGTGCTGTGGTGGTTCAGAGGTGGGCGTGGCGTGGTGCTGCGCTGCGGTGCCCCTCCCCCTCCCTGGATGTGGTGTGGTGCTGTGGTGGTTCAGAGGTCGTCGTCGTCGTCGTCGTCGTCGTCGTCGTTGTCGTCCTCGTCGTCCTCGTCGTCCTCGTCGTCCTCGTCGTCGTCGTCTTCGTCGTCATCGTCGTCGTCGCCGTCGTCATCGTCGTCATCGTCGTCGTCGTCGTCGTCGCCGCCGCCGCCGGCGTCGTCGCCGCCGCAGCCGTCGTCGTCGTCGTGGTCGTCGCCGTCGTCGTAGTCGTCGCCGTCGTCGTCGTGGTCGTCGTACACACACATATATATATATGATAGACGTAAAAATATATACGCACACACACATATATATGTATATATACACGTATGCAAACAAGTACATATATATTCTTCTTTCTCTATGTTTAACCAGCCCAGGGGGGACGGGGGAACCTATTCACCCCACCCCAAAACCAGACCCCCCCGGACCCGTGGCCCCAGGGACCCCCTGGACGCCCCTGCAAGAGACCCCCGAGGTTTTCCGGAGCTCCTGGAAGCCCTTGCTACGCTTAGGCCATGGGCCCAAATCGGTCAGGAGGGCGGCCGAACGGCCCCCCGAAGGCCCCAAGAGGAGGCCCCAGACACCCAGCTGACGCTCGAAGGCGACCCAAAGAAGACCCCCAAGAGGCCGTCGAAGCGCAGAAAAATATTGATTTGCAATGGTTGTTTTATGATGTTGGGAGAGCTCTTTTCTTCGGTCTTCCAGGCGTCCGAGGCCGCCCAGGGGGCCCGAAAATCGTCCCAAAATTATTTGAAAGGGCTTCAAGGTAGTGCAGGAGAGCCCCAAGACAGCACAGCAGGCTTCCAACATGGCCCGAAGAGAGCCCCGTGACGGCACAAGATGGCCCCAAGGCGCCCCCCGAAGCATTCCAAATCGTGACCCGGTCGTTCAGGGAGACCGCGGTTGGAAGCAGGATGGCCCGAGGAAGCCCCGAAAGGCCCCCAGAAGGCGCCCAGGAGGCCTCCAGAAGGCCCCAAGAAGCCCTTAAAAGATTCGTGAGGCCCACAAAAGGCTTTCCAAGGAGGAGAACTGAGGAGAATGGGGAAGAATTCGCACGGAAGGGCGGGAAGGGGGAAGAGGAAGATAAGGCACTAGGGAAGGATGGTGAATAACATTATTGTGAAGGCTTGACGGCCGGTGCTGCCGACCCTGAAAGACATCGACGACGACCAGGAGGGGGAGGAGGAGGAGGAGGAGGAGGAGGAGGAGGAGGAGGAGGAGGAGGAGGAGAAGGAGGAGGAGGAGGAGGCGGAGAGAAGGAGGAGGAAGGGGAGGAGAAGGAGGAGGAAAAGGACTCCCCCTTGGGCCCCCCCTTGGGGAGGAGGACCGGAGGAGGACTGGCGTGGGAAAGGGAAGGGGAGGGGGAGGATGACCCCCAGGGACGGATGCGTATCTGATTCCCCCCCCCCCGGGACTATCCCCACCTGGTGAGGAGGACCCGACGAGGACGGGCGCGCCAGAGAAGGACCGGCGTGGGAGAGGAGGACCCCCAGAGGCGATGCGAATCTGACCCCCCCCCAGGGCCCCCCCCCCTGGGGAAGGGACAAAGGGAAGGGGCTTCCTTCCCTTTGACGTAATGAGGACGTGGATGGAATTCCCTCAAGCTGCGAACCCGTTCCCCGAACGAGGAAAGGTGCTCTCTCTCTCTCTCTCTCTTTCGTCTCTCCCCCGACGGGAAAGGAGGATGGGAAAGAGGGGACGAAAGAAGGTTCCCCTTCGACGGGACCGGACAGACACCCCACACACGCCGACAGGGTCGGCGGATTATAACGGCGATGTCCGAAAGGCAGCAAGACGTCATCGCTAAATTGTCTGTTTGACCTTCCTGCCCTTCCGCCTGCATGCCAAACTTCAAGGACCAAGGTGCATGGCGCGAAGCGCCAATGCAGTCTTGTGTATACATGCACCTATCTCTCTCTCTCTCTCATCCCTCTCCTCCTCGTGCTCCCCCTCTCCCGACGCTTCCCTCCGCCATGGACCGCAGCCATTCTGGCCCGAGCTCGGCGCCCCCCATCGAGAGCCGCTGGCGGCGCGAGCCATGCTGAGCGCCGCGTCGGCCGCGGGGGCCGCGGCGGCGGCAGCCCGGCAGGCGCGGCTCGGCGGCGACGTGGCGCGGCCGAGGCAGCAGCCGCTGCTGCGCGCCGAGGCCGCCGCGGAGGCGGGTGGGCTGCTGCCGGCCCCTGGGCGCGCGGTGGCCTGCAGGGCAGCCTGGGTCGCCGCCACGCTGCTCTCCGCGGCCCTCTTCGTGGCCGCGTGCGCGGCGCCCGGGTGCCGCCCAGACGCGGTTGTCGGTGACGCGAGAGCGTGACCCTTCGCTGGGGTGGCTTTTGGTGCGGGCCCGCAGGGGGCCCCCCCCGCAGTGGCTGTCGCGCTGGGTTTGCACCCCCAGGTGGCCCCCCGAAGCCGCGCACCAAGGGTCATCCTTGCCTAGGGCACCTCTTGCGCGCAGCCGAGGTCTTCTGGCCCACGCTGGCAGCCAGCACGGTGCTGTGGGTGGTCCGGGCAGCCATCGACGTGCCCAGCTGCGAGCTGGGGGACTGCGACGAGGAGGGCCCCTCCGCGCACCAATGGGCCCACTGGGCGGGCTCGCTGGGCTGCCTCTTCGCCTGGGCGGTGCTGTCGCTGCTGGCCATCGAGCCCTGCCTGACGGCGATGGTGTTCGTCCGGGGGCACCGGGGCGAGGGGAGCGTCCAGAGCCTGGAGCACATGCTCGCCCAGAATCCCAGGCCCGTGCAGTTCTTCTTCAGTGACGGCTTCGTCGACCACCACCTCAGCGTGACCGAGAGCTTGTGCGCCGCACGCCAGCCGCACGCCGACGACGCCGTCGTGGAGCGGCAACCAGCGGCGCCGGCGCCCGCCGAGCGGGCCAGGCTGGGGCCGCGAGCGGCACCTCTGGAGGGGAGGCCCGTGGCCTCGGCGCCGTGCGGCCCCAGGGACACCCTCTCCATCGCCCCCGTCTTCGACTCGGAGCTCGAGGCCGTCACCAACGGCACGGTCCGCGCGTGGGCCCGCGGCACGCAGCGGGGCAAGGTGCCGGCCGCCAGGTGCGCCGAGGGCGGCGGGCTGTGCGCCATCCTGCCCGAGGCGGTCGTGGGCCGCGGCGACAGGGGCCTCGGCGGCGACGGCGGCCCCGTGGCGGCCCTGCAGCACCGGGCGGTGGAGCAATTCAGGGCCGCGTTCTTCGGGCGCCATTCGGTCGCGGACGACCTGCCAGTCCTCATTCCGAAGGAGGAGAAAGGGCACAAGCAGAAGGCTTCGGAGCTCCGCGCGGGTTTCTTGGGCCAGCGCTGCTGGTCCAAGCAATCCGAGCGGGGCTCCCATACTTTATGTTTGTGCCGTTATTCCCTCCCTCCGTCGATCTTCGTGGACCCTCAGACCGTCAGCTCCTTCCCGCCCGAGCTGGCCGCCGCGCTCGCCTTCTGCCTCCTGTCCGTGCTGCTGACCTGCTGCCCCAGCGCCCTCGAGGCGCTCGTCGCGCGCGCCGGCCTGGAGGACGACGACGACGACGACGACGGGCCGTCGGCGCGCGCCGAGGAGGACTTCCTGGAGCTCTCGGCGCCGCCGCTCGCGCGGCGCGGCCGCGGCGGCAGCCCGCGCGAGGTGCGCCTCGTGCCGGGCGGCGCCGCGAGGCCCCCCCGCACGGGGGAGCCGGGGCCCGCCGCGGGCCGGGTGGCCGCCGCTGCGGGCAGGGGCGCCTCGCCCGAGGGCCGGCCGCCGCACGGCGGCGGCCCGCGCCGGCTGCGCCCGCTGCTGCTGCCGGAGGAGGCCGGCGGGCTCCCGCGCGGGGGCGCGGCGGGCGCCTCGGAGGGCCGCGGCGACCCGCGGCGGCTGCGCCTGCTGCTGTCGGAGGGGCCCGGGGGAGACGCGGCGGAGGTCGGGGGGCGCCGGCAGGTATATACACGTGCAGCGAGGCTGGCCGGGCCCACTGCTGGGCCCAGGATCGGTGAAGAGGTGCCTCCCTGGCCCAGCGAGGAGGGCGTGTGCACGGATCCTGGCCCCAGGGTAGGTCCGGCGAGGATCGGTACGTACGCGTAGAGTTGGCACCTTTCCTCAGGAGGGGGAGGAGCCGTGCGTGATCTGCTGCCTGAGTCGGAGGGACACGCTGCTGGCTCCCTGCGGGCACGTCGCCACCTGCCTGCCCTGCTCCGAGGAGCTCCGCAGGAGGGGGCAGCCGTGCCCCATCTGCCGGGCCTCGCTCGACGGCGCCTACCGCGTGTTCCACGCCTGAGGTGGCGAGGCCGCCAGTGGTTTCGCTGCCGCCAGCAAAAACATAGGCACCTCCATTGGGCCCAACTACAGCCTGTAGCTTTCGGAGGTTGGAAGACACCCACCGTGCCAGGACGATGCGCGGATTGCCCCTTCTCGCTTCTCGAGAGAGTGTTGCGACCGCATTTTTTCCCCGACCTTGCGGAGGGTTCCCGTTGAGTGTTCCCTTTTGGGGGGGTCTGGGGGGGAACCCCTGGGACATGGACCCGGCCACGGGCGGAACGCCGGCGGAAGCCGACGGAAGACGGCCGCCGTCGGCCCCATTTCGGCAGACGCGTTTCCAGGCGGCACGGACGGCCCCAAGATGGTCCGCAAGATGGTCCAAGGGGGCCGCAAGTCGCCGAAAGATCGGTCCAAGACGCCAAAGATGGCTTGAAGATGTTCCGAGAAGTGAGAAGTCTTCAAGAGGCCTCCAGGAGGGCCTCCAAAAGGTCCCGGAGAGGCAAACTTCATCCATGTCCTGAGGGTTTGTCTTCGCGCTGTCGTGCTTGATGCTCCAGAGCTCGCCCCAAGACGGCCGAAGAGGCCCCCAGCAGGGCGCCGTCACGGCCCAAGAGGCCCCCGAGACGGCCCGAGAGGCCTCCAGGACGGCCCAAGAATGCTTCAGCATCGCCCCTAGAGGGGCCCCTTAGCGGGAGCACGGACCAAGAGTGCCAGCTGTTCGCACAAACAGATCCCCAGGAGGCCCTAAGACGCCCCCAAGAGGCCCCAAGAATCCTCCTGGAGGGTTCCAGGCAGCCCCCAGAGGCCCCCGAGAGGGCCCCAAGACTGCACAGGGTGGCCCCGAGATGGTCGGAGACGCCCCCGGGCCCGGAGACTGTCCAGCATGGCTCCAGGAGATCGGAGACGCCCCGACGAAGTGGCACGGCGTCGAACGGACAGCACGGGAACCAGCACCAGGCGCCTTGAAGCGGCACAGCGTCGAACGGACAGCACGGGAATCAGCGGAATGCGCTTCGTAGACGTCCTCTTCTTTGCTCTCTTCTTCTGTTTCTTCTTATTAGTATTATTCGTATTATTAGTATTATTATTGTTATTATTCATATTTTTAATGTTATTATTATTAATATTCGTATTATTATTATGAGTAGCATTAATATCAGTATTACTAGTATTACTACTAGTGTTATTAGTAGTATTAGTATTATTGTTGTTAGTGTTGGTATTATTGTTGCTATTAGCATTGTTCGTCTTATTATTATTAATATTATTATTATTATTATTATCATTATTATTAATATTATTATTATTATTATTAATAGTCTTCTTCTTATCATTAGTATTAATATTATTAGTCTTCCTCGCAAGCCGCGCCCACGCGTCCTCCGAGGTCGGGGTTCGTGACAATGCCAGGCTGCGGGCCTTCGCCCGCCGGGTTTGGTCCAGGGCATGTTTTGCTGGGGCTCTTTTGCTAGAGGGGTCTCTCTCTCCTCCTCCTCCTCCTCCTCCT